TAGATAGTCTGAAGTTTGGGGGTTTGAAGTGGATCTACCAACAAAGGGGGTGGCCAGTCTTGGTGGGGTGGTAGTGACCATACCCACTTCAGAAGATTTTGCAGCTACATCACCGCTGGTGGTCGCACTTGAATTGCGGGAAAATGCCCTCCTAGGCTGCTCCTTCTCCTGGTCAATAAGGCCCTGCTTCATAGTGTCCTCGATCTGTACTCCTATCTCATGCAAATCTGAAAAGGTAGGGAAGGGGAACACGATCATTTTCTGCATTAGTTTGGGCTGGAGGTTGCGCACAACCATCCGTATTTGATCCTTATCCGTTGGCCTAATGGTCATCATTGAGGCCTTGGCCCTCCAGCGGGCCACGAATTCTGAGAAGCTCTCCTTTGGCTCTTGGTGGGAGACTTCAAGATCACGAGTTGTGACCTCAATCTGTGCGTTATAGGAGTATTGATCACTAAAGGCCTCAGCCATCTCTTCCCAATTCTATTTCACAGAGTTCTCCAATTTTGCATACCAGATTGCGACTATCCAAGACAGGGTCCGGCCAAACAATGATAGCTTCTGTAATCTGGTGAGGCCAATCGGCCTTAGTATGTCCGAAAACAGCCGCAAATGTACCATGGGATCCCCAGATCCATCAAAGCGGTCAATGTGCGGCATCTTAAACCTGTCCAGCAGCGTCACAGCCGAGTCTGTATACCTATCTTCAATATCAGGAATGGAGTGGGCCCCCTGAGACTTCTTGAACAATTTTTCAAGCTTGCTCACTTTCAATGCTGTGGGGTCCGTCTCGACATCAAAGGGGGGGTCGGGTAGGTTGGTGGGTGTTTTAGATAGCTGGGGTAGAACTGGGGGCAGAGCTGGCCCTGTCGGATTGTCCGTATCTTCCTGGAGATTAGCTGTCTCCCCGAGTGCTGGAACTCTTGGTGGGGGAGGAGCCTGGTGTGAAGTAGATACTCCAGTTTGCTGCTCTAACCTGGCAATTGTCTCTGCCTGTTGGGCTATGACCACAGCCTGTTGCTTGGCGAATTCTACTTGATGGACAGCGTCTTGCTGCATGGCTTTCATACTATCCTGGAGTTGGCGCACCATCTCTTCCAGACCTGACATATTATCCTGATCTAACTGAGCAACCGGTATATCTGTGTCCGCAGTAGGCTCAGAAATCTTAACCCGACTGCTCAAAGATCACTGATCTAGTAGATGTTGTACTGATGGTCTGTGCCTGACTAACCTCCTCTGGCCCTGATTACCCTTGAACTGAGTCTCTGACCTAACAAAGTCTATCAGCACAAATCCAATGTACCAGGGCATATGTATCGGCATTGTTCAGCGATGCCACAAATGTCTGATCCATGCAAACCGCATGAACATCTCGCCGTCGAAGCTGTACAATATGACTTCGCCATGGTCATTTTCAGTTTGGGGAATTGATGTGATCGGGGCTATCACTCCAAAGGGGTCCAATGGGCATAAGTTCATTCTGGTCGCGATAAACTATTTCAAAAAGTGGCTTGAGGCCCAATCTTATGCGGCGTTGAAGGCGTCGTACGTTGCAAAGTTTATCTAGAATAACATCATCTATCGCTATGGGGTCCCGAACGAGGTTATCTCAGATAATGGTTCCCACGTCAAGAAGGAAGTGATTGACCTGTTGGAGAAATACAACGTGGCTTTTCATAAGTCATCCACATATCGGCCGCAGACCAATGGAGCAGTCGAGGCCGCCAACAAGAACATCAAACACATTTTGCAGAAGATGATGGAAACCTACCGAGACTGGCCAGATAAGCTACCATTTGCTTTGTGGGGCTACCAGACTTCAATTAGAACTTCTACCAGGGCGACTCCGTATTCATTAGTTTATGGGATGGAGGTTGTTCAACCTATTGAAATTGAGGTTCCGTCATTAAGAGTGCTGGCTGAGTGTCAGATAGCCAAAGCAGATTGGCAGCAAAGCAGATTCGAGGAACTCATGCTCTTTGATGAGAGAAGGCTGAAAGCACTGTACCATGTTCAAGGTTGTCAACGAAGAATAGCTAGGGCTTTCAACAAGAAGGTTAAGTCCATAAATTTGAAAGAAGGAGATTTGGTACTCAAAGACAACCGAGCTCCCATCCATGACCCTAGGGGCAAGTTCAGACCCAATTGGACTGGTCTCTACATCATTAAGTCTATTTGGTTGGGTGGAGCTGTCGTTCTGATGGACCTAGATGGCCTAGAGTTCTCACAGCCGATCAACATGGACAAATTGAAGAAATATTACCCCTAAGAGGCTCGCTTGGCCGAAAACCTGAAAGGGCGACGTAGGCAAAAGTTAGAGCATGAAAAATTTGAAATTACAAAAACTAAGCTCGCAAGGTTGAAAACCGGCAAAAGGCGTCCTTGGCAAAAGTTAGAGCGTAAAAGGTGAGGGTTAATACACGAGTGAACCTGAGCCGAACTATGTAACGCTTGATTCCCATCTTTGGGATACGTAGGCAACTTCATCCTGAAGTCCAGCCATAAACTTTTCCCCGATCAACTTTGTCCATTTGATCACCTCGGTCATCTTTGTCTATTCAGCATTCAAGAGTTTCGGTTGCGATCTCCAGTGCAGTGCTATTCAGACTAGGGACAACTTTCCAGTTGTTGGGATCCGGGGTTGTGCATCTCAGTGACAGATCTCAGGTGTGTCCAGTTCTGATCCATATCGAAAATGGTTTTGAAAAGTTTTAATAAAAGTTGATTTTTCTCAAATTAATCTTTTTACGACTTAGACCATTTTTGGACCAAACGAAAAATTTTCAGTACCCACAACCTTCAATTTTATTGATTTCAATACAGAGTTCTCCTGCTCTTGCATACAAATTGAAGTTGCCTTTCATTACATTCATAAAGAAAACTTGAAAGTTCTGATTAAAGCAAATAAATCTGGGGCATAGTCAGGTGTTCCTGTGTCCCCTCCCAGAGCTGGTCGAAGCCTTCGATGCCAAGCTGGGCCCAATCTGCGCCTCTTCATTGAGCCAATGTATGCACTCATCAGGTAAAGTGCAACTGAAAGTGGGAGCAGGGGCCAGAAGCTCTCTCATCCTCCATGCTGTGGCATACCAAGCTAGCTGTGCATCTCAGATCGAAAATGCAGAGCTGGATACTCTATCCCCTTCGCCGGGCAGATCTGATCATGGCTGAACTGGCGCTGGAACCGGAAAGGAAAGTAGAACACGCAGTGTGTCAGGCCAATCAATTGAATTCCAAGCTGCCAGGACATGCTGTAGCTCATTGCCAGTAGATTGAGCCAAGGGCACTGCCAAGCAATACGGTCTGCGGACAAATTGCACATCCAATCGAACCACCATCCCTCATCCAGGGCATCAACTAGACGTCGTCGAAAGAAGTAGCCGCGAGCTAAGTATGCTGGGCAAGAGTCCACAACCTGCAACTTGTCCATCAACCACACCTGGGGAGGGATGGCAAATGAGAGATTAAAGAATAGAGAGGTGTATGTTGAGAGAAAAGTGAGAAAAGGGCTTTGTGAGAGAAACCGAGCTTGAGGGCCGAGTGATGTGAGCAATATATATGTGAGATAGGGTGGGAAACATTACCTGCAGCAGTAGTGGACTCCCCGCAAATCTGGTCGTCTCTCGGCGATGAAAAGTATCCAAGCCCATCAATGTCTCAGCCAATGACAAGGCAATACAGCTTTTGCCCTCCCTTAAGCCTTGGGCAACCTCGATCAACCGGATACTAGATCCTCCGGAGCTTGAGGCAAGTAAGAAATGAGATAGCATACACAAACAAAGGGCATGTCGCCAAAAGCCTTGCCAATGATGGTCACCGCGATCACCGGCATCAGAAAACCGACAAATCAAACTCGGAATATCCAGCATTCCGTCACAAATCAAAGATCGAGCATCGCGCATAGTGACCCCACACATTCGCCCTAAGGCTTGGGCGTGGCCGAAGCGAAGTTGGGGCAAGATTTCTTCATTGCGCTCGGATTCCATCAAAACTTGGAAATCTTCGAAGGTAGGACACACCTCTTGCCCACTAAAGCTGAAGACATGTGTTACCGGATTCCAAAACTTTGTCGCGGCATGGAGGAACGGAAAGTACACCGGAGTGCAACTCAGCGTGAATAGTGCATTTATGCTGAAGCCCCGGAAGTTCAACTTTTCCAGGCCGTCTAAGGTAGCAATCCATGTTGTGAGATTTTGGATGAGAAATGCCTCCATTTTGATGCAAAACTGAGATGCAATGAAAGAACCACGAAGCTGGAACTTTTGTAGAGGATAAGGCACTGTTTGGAGGATATGTGTCAAAAATTTGGAGGTCGTCGGGCCAAGTGGCCGGCCAGCTTTCTCTAGTGGTTGGCCATGGAGGAAAGTTGGTCTTTTGTCTTTTCCTAGTCTCTAGAACGGAGCTCCTAGCATTTCCATGTGTTGGGAGTATTGAAGGTCCAAGTCTACCTCTGTTTCGGGTGCGTTCCGTCGCCCGATTTGTCCAAAATGCGTTTGCTTATCAAGTTGTTGTTGAGTTTTGCTTATCGAGTTGTTAAGTTTTGTTTATCGAGTTGTCGAGTTTTGTGCATCGATTGTTACTCTTTGTTTAATCAACATTGTCGTGTTTTGCTTATCGAGTTGTAAACTCGCTATGGTTTTGCTGTTTCTCAGTAAGTTAAGTTGTTTAGTTTGTTGTGTCGGTTCACTACCTGACTTGGTGATATACAATGCTCAATTTCCATTCAATCTCATTTTTGTGCAAAATGATGCAATGCGACGCTAAGAATACAAAATACAACACTTTTTGAACAAAAAGTTGTTTCATTCCATCATAGCTTCCTTTTTTTTACAACATCTTACAACAGGGTACAAGTTTTAAAGATAATAAAACTGCCTAAAAGCTAATGTGCTACAACTACTAGTAACAAAAGAAAATAAAGTAGGAACATCTGCATCAGTGCCATCAAGCGCAAGACTGAGAGGCCCTCTTCGCCCTCTTCGGCTGAGCAACCTCTGCACCATCACCATCCGAATCGGAGTCGCCGCCCTCGGAATCCTTCTCGACATCACCTCCGCCCTCAAAACTGGATCCAGAGTCATCCTCTCTACCCGCAGATGTCTTTAACTGAGGATGTACAGACTCCTCCTCCTTGCTGGACTCCGGATCATCTCTGATGGGTGCTCTACGCCTACCTCGGCTGCGAGTTGAATCCTCTCTCTCAGCTCCTCGAGAAGGCCGGGATGGCCCAGCCTGTAGTGGTGGCATCTGAAAAAGAAGACAATTTGAATACATTAGCCAATATGTATAACAGATACAGGGACAAGAAAGCCACATAGAGTGGGTGTATGCAGATACGGTGTATGAATGTGGTGTGTGTCAGATCTGCTCTACACCTACAGTCAACCAATGCAGTGGAATGTTCAGTTTCAGTATGTCATCAAAAGTATGATAAATACAAGAAAATTGAAAAGTACCGAAACACCAACGATGAACAGCTGCGTCTCTCTCCGCAAGACCATCCCCTTGAGTGAGGCCACCAACCTAAGCATCCTATCCATGTACTCTCTAGGAGGCTGCAGATGTGAGTGCAGGTTGTCAGTGAATGAATGAATGTCCAAATATCTGAGTGATAAATCAAAACCGTAAAGCATACCGGTGGCGAGTCAGGGTCTCTGACGTATCGGTGATCAGGCAATGGAGGCTCTAATGGGATCGGGTAAGATGTCCCGTATCGTCATCCTGTCAACTCGTCGAAGGAGCATCTGCTAGTCGAAGGAGCATCTGCAGCCTGGGCTCGAGCTGACGATGATGCACCAGCAGCTCTCTTTTCAGGAGTATGGATACCTGTCAGTGAGGGCATCAGGTACGTATGGCGGTAAGTCACGTACTCCCCCTCCTTCGTGTACAGAATCGCATCAATACCCAACATAGCGATGTCGACCTCCTCGGGAGTAAGTCCCTCAATGGACCGCATGTCCTCTGGAGGTGCTGAGGGGATACTCTGATCAGAGACGCCCATCGTCTAACGCATGAAGCGATCCCCATAAACCAGGCCCTGCCAACCGGTCCCTCAAATGGAGTCCTGTATAGAGAAGAGGCCCACCTCCCAGGGAATCGGAAACGGATATCTCCTCCCAAGGGCGCCCAGGGCTGCCAAGTGATCTGCGGAAAACCAATGCATGAGCTGATTAGATAACGTAAATATGCAAGATCGATCAAAGCTAAAAACATGAAGAACTGAGAGTTCTGAATTACCTCAGTCGCCCGCACCGTATCAAAGAGCTGCCCCAGGTAGGGCAGAGTCTCCTGAGCCCTCGGCCGGCACCGGTCCTCAAAAACGTGAGAGTAAGGAATCACAAGAGGCACCTCCACCTTGAGCTCCGGGGCTAGCGTTGGAAAGTATGTGTAAACCCATAGCTGTGGAAAACAGGGCAATAGCCATCAGAATACAGAATGTACAGAGAATGTAGAATGTTGAATGCATAATATGAATACAGAATGGAGAATACAGAATGCTGAGTGCAGAATGTAGAATACCGAATGTAAGGTGTGTCGTGTGCAGTGTACAACTAATGAAAACAGGAATGTAAATCAAGAGGGAAGAAAGTACCTCCCAGGCTCTCTAGTAGCCACCAACTATGTTCCCCCTCCCGCGGGTGGTCGCACTCATGTAACAGTAAAGGGTAGCGAGGCTGGCGCCACCCCAGTCATACTGGCTGACCTGTGATAGGTCCACTAAAGCACTGAGCAGATGCAGTCCAACTGTGTTCCCCCTATCGGAGAACAAAGTTGTCCCAAAGAGGAACATCAAAAACCCTTGAGCGTACTGCTCTATCTCCTCAAGAGTCTCGGACATAGTCCCTCTGTACTGCATGGGAAGCCAGGTGTACCTGACTCTACCCAAAGATCTGTCAATCGGAGGGCGAGCTCCCAGCAAATGAATCCAAGCCGATTCCCACTCGCCCATGTCTGCGTCGTAGGGGACCGGTCGGCCGACCACATCAAGGCCAGTCAGCATGGTAAAGTCAAACGGGGTCATCGTCATATCCCCGGTAGCCAAAAAGTGAAACGAGTTGGTGGTGTCCCACTATCTCTCCACAAGTGCCCTCATCAAGGTCCTGCTCGCCGGGTAACGTGATACCCCCGCGTAGAAGGTTCCAAACCCTGCCTCGTCAACCATATGACGAACAGTATCTGGGAGCTCCGTATACCACTCCCTAGCAACGATCGAGCCATAACCTTGCGTAGAACGAGAAGATACCTACATTCAGAATTAACAGATGTATTCAGTTTTTAGAGAGAGATGAATGAGTTGCATGCAAATTGAGTAAGTGGACTGTGTGTTCAGTATGAGCTACACGCAAATGGAGTAAGTGGACTGTGTGTTTAGAATGAGCTACGTGCAAATGAAAATAGATGAACTGCGTGTTCAGAAATAAAGTAAACATATGAACTGCGTGTTCAGTATGAGCTATATGCAAATCAAATCAGATACTGTGTTGTGGACTGTGTGTTCAGTACGAGCTATGTGCAAACCAAATCAAACAGTGTGTTGTGGGCTACGTGTTCAGTATAAGCTGTGTGCTAGAAGAATGAGCTGTGTGCCCGAAAAGAATGAGCTATGTGCTTGAAAAGAACGAGTTGTGTGCCCGAAAAGAACGAGCTGTGTGTTCAAACAGAAAAGTAAACTGTGTGCTAGAAAAATGAGTTGTGTGCCCGAAAAAGAGCTGCGTGCAAATGAAATGTGTGAGCTGTGTGTTCGAACAGAAAAGTGAGCTGTGTGCCCAGAAAAGGGCTGCGTGCAAATGAAATGTTCGAGCTGTGTGTTCAAACAGAAAAAATGAGCTGTGTGTTCTAACAAATAACGAGCTGTGTGGTCAAACAGAAAAGCGAGCTGTGTGCCCGAGAATATACTGTGTGCCTGAAAACAAGCTGTGTGCCCGAGAAGGTGCTATGTGCCTAAAAACGAGCTGTGTGCCCGAGAATGTGCCGTGTGCCTGAAAACGAGTTGTGTGCCCGAGAATGTGTTGTGTGCCTGAAAATGAGCTGTGTGTCCGAGAATGTGCCGTGTGCCTGAAAACGAGCTATGTGCCCGAGAACGAGCTGTGTGCCCGAGAATCTGTTGTGTGCCTGAAAATGAGCGGCGTGCCCAAGGAATGAGCTGTGTGCCCAAAATGTGCTGTGTGCCCGAGACAAACTGTATGATAAGAATGAACCGTGTGTTCAGAACAAGCTGTGTGCCAACTTAACAAAATACTATGTTGTGAGCTGCGTGCCGAATAAGTAGAAGTATGGTGTGTGAAATGTGTTCAAAACGAGCAGATAAAAAATACATAGCGAAAGCATGGAATGTGCAGGAAATGCAGAATACATTGTACAAAATGTAAAAGTGAAGTACGTACCTCTCGTGCCTGATGAAAGAGATGAGACTCTGGCTCCCGTAGTAGCAGATCCGCGGGTGCTCGTCGATCAAAGTCAGTGAAGTGATAAAAAGTGATCGGAGGTAGGACCTGCTCCTGAGGATGATACCCCTGGGGGTCGACAGGCCAAACTCTCGGAGGTAGTGACATGATGCTCGGCTCACCCGCGGCATGCGGAGGACCTCTACCATGATGAAAATGATCTGCCATCTAAAGAAATCTGTAAAAATGAGCAAAAATGAGCGAAATGAGCCAAAAATGGAAAAAGTCAACAAAAGTCAACTCTCGAGAAATAAAAAAGTCAACAAAAGTCAACTCCTGAGAAAATGTTACAGATTTCAAGACAAACTTACCTCAAGCGGTGAAAATGGAGAAAGAAGCTTCGAAATCAAATTTTAATCGGTTCAAAGTGAAGAGAACTGAAAGTTTTCGCGAAATAACTTTGCGTGGGACATTGGAAAATGTGTATAAAGCACAGATCTGAGGGAGAAAAGGTTCTAGGAAGGATGAGGGACTGATTTCGGACTTGGAGTTGTGAGCAACAGCATTTGGGATGTGTGTACTTAAAGATCCAAGCATGAAAAGACAAAACTGCCCCGGATTTAACAAAGTGGTCGGCCGACCAAATTTTCTGGCAAGCCGGCCACCCCCTTGGAAAAATCTGGTCGACCATTAGCCTAGGTGGTCAGCCATCCTCCTGGGTGGTCTCCAAGCTCTCTTTGTTCTCCCTGCAAATTTTGGTGGTGATTGGAGTCTCCGGCTCTCAAGGAAGTACAAGGAAAGTGTACTTTCCGGCGCGAAATGCCTCCGCCGGAAAATCAATTCAAGTCTTCGACATATGACTCGTCGTTACTCGTCAAGAGCAAGGTGTATCCTTTTTGAGTACGTTGCGACCCCTCTGAGAGGTAAATCGGAGGTCGCATTTGAGTTCCTGTCTTCGAAGCTTGCACTTCTTTACTCAGCATTTTTTTTCAAGTGTGCTTTTGAAGTTGTACTTATCTTGCGTTGTTATGCACACCACTCGCATTGTTATGCACATTTCATTGGCATTGTCATACATCCACACTTAACTTGCGTCATCACGCACTTTTCGTTTGCATTGCCATGCATATCTCTAATGAATATTGTACCTGTTAAGCTTCTCTCTTTTACAGGCACGATATTGTATGTACGGTTCATTCAAGAAAAGTTTCGGTTCAGTTTGAGCATACCTTTCCTCCTCTCGCATGCGGTGCGTTAGGACATCTTTGATTTCGAACACTCAGATGAGTTCCGATGTTCATTCATATCTTTTCTCCTCTCACATGCGGTGCGTTAAGACATCTTCGGTTTCGAACACTTGGATGAGTTCCGGTGTTCTTTCATACCTTTTCTCCTCTCGCATGTGGCGCGTTAGGATGTCTTCGGTTTCGAACACTCGGATGCGTTCCGGTGTCTATTTGTTCGCTTTCTCCTTTCACTTTTAACCTTCTCCCCATGAGACGCAGGGAGAATTGTATAATTTTCTTATATCCTTTCTGCATGAGATGTTGTTCGGCTCGTGTTTACTTGCTTTGCATAGCATTCGCTTAAACTGTCGTATTTATTGTGTATATTGCTTCATTACGGTGTGCTTTGCATGATCATAATTTATGTTCCGCTTCTTGCATTGTCACTTGCATCTTGCCCCTGCCTGCAGGCACATTTCTTTGTTATCTTGGCTGTTTGTCTAAGTCTTCGGCCATGTCAAAAATGGGTCGTCTCTGGGCTTTGACATTCACTCCCGTCACGTATGACTTTCGAGTTCTGTCAAAGAGGGGCAACTGTAGACACCTCATTTTTGACCAACCTCAAGACTCAGATGTCATCGATTGAGCGCTCGGTGATTGCGCATGTTGTGCTCGTTCTAAGGCTTTAGAGTTTCGGCTGAGAGCCTTACCCCCGGACCTCGGGACCCTTTTTTCGCTTTGCCTCGGTTTGCGAACCAGGTCTTGTTTTCTCTTCCCAAAGGGAGGGAGAGGTCTTGTAGACCATCTCTTAGTGGCCGTAGGCTACTTTTCGTGGTCGCAGGCAACTATTCCCATTTGGAGACCAGTTTCTGATTTTCAGATTCGTCGGTCGTGCGCCTCGGTTCGAGACCACTTAACTTTCTCTGTTTG